CAAAAAAGTGTTACATTTCAACCATAGATTCATCATTACATATACTAAGCTTAAATTAAAGTAATAAAACATTATATAACTTGTTAATTTTTCATTTATTTTCTTGGCTGTCAACAAGTTACATAAATGACACATGTTTAAACAACTGAAAAATTTGTTTTTAAAAGAACAAGAGCCAGGTTATTAAGACAAATATGTTATAAGAATACAAAATAAACTGGACAATACCTGTTTCTGACTGAATAGATCCCACACCTTCAATGTTCCATCAAGGGAAGATGTAAATAAAAGATTTTCTGTACAGCATATAGCTGTCACAGATTTTGTGTGCATCTGTAAAAATACAAAGGAGATAACATAGGCTATATACAGTCAAAGCATAAAACACATAACATTTGATAAGGATAGGTCAACTGGCTCTTGGAGATAAGGTTGTAGTCATGATGTATAGAAGTTAAAAACTTTTTTTTTCATTTGTACCGGTGATGTTAAAACAAAAGGCAGTTTTCTCTAAAAAACTAATTTTTAATACAATTTCTATTGTTTTCCATGGAAACAAAACATCAGTTATCTCTAAAGAAGAAACCACGTACAAAAAATGTATAGAAAAAAGCATCTAAAGAGTCAGTTACCTCCCAAAGACCAATCTGTACAAAAGTATAATTACTTTTCAAATAATATTCAACACAGCAGTTGCTGCCCTACATTTGTAATAATTTTGTTTCAACGACGTAACAAACACTATTTCTTTTTCACGTTTACATGTCTCTTAATGATGTTGAAACAGATCGTTATCTGCATGCGAGTCTAATTAGAAACAAAAAATTTGATGTTTGTTTATACAACAATCTAGATAATTAAACAGCTCTTCTATAGTCAAAATACCAGTTGATTCCTTAATGTCAAACTAAACATACTATGTAAAAAAAAACAACAAGCTTCTGTGATTTCAAGCTTTATCTACAGTTTCTTCTTCTTCTCCATAACAATCCCGACCAGTTTGGGGTCAGCCAGTAATTTTATAAACCAAGCATTTTTAAACCTGGATGGTTAGCCCAGACAGCAACCATGTAGGATGAGCGTGTTCAGTGATGGACATTAAAACTTGTAACCCTCACATTGCAAGTCGAACACCCTAACTACCATGTTCAGTGATGGGGATTAAAACTTGCAACTCTCACATTACAAGTCGAGCACCCTAACTACCATGTTCAGTGTTGGGGATTAAAACTTGCAACCCTCACATTGCAAGTCGAGCACCCTAACTACCATGTTCAGTGATGGGGATTAAAACTTGTAACCCTCACATTGCAAGTCGAGCACCCTAACTACCAAGTTCAGTGATGGGGATTAAAACTTGCAACCCTCACACTGCAAGTCGAGCACCCTAACTACTATGTTCAGTGATGTGGAATAAAATTTGCAACCCTCACATTACAAGTCGAGCACCCTAACTACCAGGCCATGCTGGGTGCAGGCCTTACCTACAGTGTATTGTGGAAGATTTAATACACTTAGTTTGAAACACAAGATATTAGTTTGTACTTGGAATGGCAGTGGTTGCTTCACATTTCTTAGATGTCAGCTGTACTGTAAAACATCAGACTATATTCAGTGAAGAATAGTTGTCTTAACAGTTAAGTGGCCATTACATGCTCAAAGGTGAAACACGTGTAAAACGTTTCATCTTATTTTATATGTATGAACAGCAAGTATTATTAGTTAACAACATTACCTGTTTTATGAGATTTTACAAATCAAGCTTCTTCTTTAATACAACTAGCTGATAATGACAGGAGAAAGAACTGCTAATTATCTGAGTCAAAGATGTATGAAATAAAGGTTCGATCAATACAGCATATTCAAATAAAAATCATTATGAGTATAAAATCAAAAAATAAACTTATATTTTGATAAAAACTATAACTTACTCTAACAACTGTAGTAGTACCTTCCCTGATTACTGTGACAAAGCCTTGCACATCTCCAACAAACACAGCTCCATCAGCAGTGGTGAGGAGTGCTGTTGGCCATACACCTTTAGTAACTTGGCCTTCTGTTGAAGTTATCTGCGACACCACTTTGCACAAAGGCTATCAGAATATTTGATTTTAAATTAAGGTGATAGAGAAATAATACAAAATCAAGTGGAAACAAAGTAATAGATATTTGCTTCAATGTGTAATTACAATTGTGTAAAATACACATTTCTGAAGGTAATTATATACATACAAAATTTGGTCCAAAAGCATCACTGTAGTTACAGAGTAAATCTCCAAATAGCCTTCTCACACAGAACTAATATGATATAAGAAGAACTCCATGTTTCCATATTAAAAGTAATGATACATACAAAACAAAACTAACTTTAACTTTTTTTTTTCTCTAACCGAATTAAAAGTTTTAAAATAAGTGTGACTAAAAACATATACTGGCTTAAACTTCTGAATTACTGTAGAGATTTCTTTTAAAAATTACTTTATAAAACTGATTCCTATCAACACAGTAATTACATATCACTCTAGATTCACTTTCACACTACTGAGACAACATATTTAATGTGATCAATGTCTGGATAGTTTTATTTTTCTCTGACTGATTGTATATCTTTTAAAATGTGATTTGAAAACCTATACTGGTTAGAATTCTGAATAATTGCTTTCTACAAAAATCTCGCAGTTCCAATTTTGAGTACTGTAGGCTTAGGTTAATAAATATAAAGAAAAGGTGCATTAGTTTACTAAGGTTTTCTTAAATCTGACTGGAAACATAATTAACACACACACACATATATATATATATATTTATGAATTAACCAAAAAATATTTAGTTTCATCTATATTTATCATCATGGTCATTATGCTATATCATTCACACACAAAAGAACCATACTGATCCAAAGAATATTGAAATTAGACAGCACTCAAGTTTGATCTTCAGTCTGTAATAGTTATATTTCAAGGGGTGTTCTATACATGTGCAGGGTACTGCTTCTTTTTTTACCATGGGTTGTTTTCTTAAAATACAAGTAAGAAAGAATTTTGACTTTTATCAAGTTGCCATGACGACAGAATAGAAGGCTCAAACTCACTGATAAATTATGGTCATATGAGGTCAATGAATAGTTGTAGATACCCGTACTTTTGATATTTTGTGTTTCCAGCCTGAACAGCAACTTGCATGACACGTGTCAAATAAGCAGGTCACAGACCTTCCAAGGTTCAGGAATAGCCATCCCTAATTAAAACTGCTAACCAGTTGCCAGCACCTGCCACCTACAGGACTACTTTTAACCAAATAATAGGATTGACTATCATGGCTACAAAACCTCTACAGCTGAATCTACAGAATAAGTTTAATGGCATATCATGGCTCAAACCTTAGTCCTTGCAACCCGCAGCCCAGCATGCTAACTACGAGGTTTTGCCAGCCAAAAACATGGATCTAACAACTGTGTAAAACTTTTAAGCATCTTATAATACTGACAGCTTTCTTATTACTGCATTAAAACAAGTATAATAAGTAGTGGTCAACCTTCAGCTCAGTTTGACCTTATCACCTGTTGGACACTAGATCAAATCTGCGAGGCAAACATGTTGAGCTACCACACTACTCAAAGCATATTTTACTAGTTAATTTCTATAGTAAGCCTTCTGTGAAAAGAACAAATGCCAAAACATAATTTTTTCTAGAATATAACATTCAGTTTCATTTCTTTTTACCTGAGGATTATTGTAGATGTCATCACAGGATAATATGTCACCTTTTTCATCAGCAATGAACATACCTAGAGTGTCTCCTGGTATTAAACCTAAAGCAGTGAGCCTGAAAAATAAGATCATACACACACATCACCACGTTTCTACACAGCTCAGGCAAACTCACTTACTGATTGTTTTAGAATGTTTCTGTCCATTCAAAAGTATAGGTATTTACTATGAAATTATCAATGTTTTGTTTTTCACTTAATTTTCCTTCTTTTTGTATAGATTTTATTAGGGACAGTCTACAATTCCCCCCCATTTATTACCTCATATTGTTGAGTAGGGACCTGGGAGTAACATCACTGAGTTTTAATACTTGCCCTGATACCCAGATTTTGATAGAGTCACTAGATCTGATGTCATTTACTAGATAAGTCAATTAGCTTGTCATTTTTTATCAGACCGTTGGGCTGAATATGTCTTTTGCAATAGGTTAATCCACTTAGGTTTAACCTCGCAGTCATTGAGACACCCCACACAGCCATTACATTTATTCCTCATATGCAAATAGTATAAACAGGTCACTTAAGTGTAGGGCAGCTTAAGTAATCCTGATTAGTTTTACTTTTCATAAACTTTGTGCATTCAAATACAAAACACACAACAAAAGAGATGTTTTGTAAACAACGAACAAGTTTTTCCTCTAGTGTTAAGTTCTTCTAGGACACGACGTTAGGTAAGCCTCATTAGGTTTAGAATATCGTAGCAGTGGCAAAATATTCTGGTGATTCAAATCTTTATTTATTGAATATTATGTCTACATTTATAGTATCCAAACAATGTAAAAAATAAAAGAACCTATAATTTATTAAAAAGAAAGTGTAACTGATACTTGAAACTGTCGGTATTTGGTGAAATTCCATAATTACAAAATTGAAGGAAAAAACCAACAAAACCTGATGATGCTTTTACTGGTGAAACCATGGTCATTAATAAACGAAATATTTGTGAAACATACATTTGTTTTTGTTTTTACTCAATTCTGTGAATAAAAAAGTATATTCATTAAACCTAAATTAAGTTTGATTAAGATTATTGTTAGCCAAATTACCATTACTTAGCTAGACCTGATGTCATTTTGAAATGTTAGAACTTAGGTCAATGATAAATCTTTGTTAGTTTATGCAGAAATATTTATGATTACTGTAATCACTATAGTATAAAAAAATATACTGATAAGCATCAATCAAGTTGAAACTGATTTTGTATATATATAAAACCTAACTTTCTTATCAACAATAAAAAAATTCAATTTTAAGATGAAAGAAAGTATTTCTAATGTTTTTGTTTTTTGAAAAAAAAGTCTCAATTTCAAAACATATGAAATAATAGAACTAAATATAATTATATGATTTTTTTTTAAAAGCTAAAATTATTCAGTAAGTTTATCCATAGTTTCATACAATTCGGTTAGGCATTTACACTGTGTGACGGGGAGAAAAAATTATACAGTATATTAGTGATACCCCCAGGCAGGAAAGGGTTAACTCATATAAGCTGCAAAATTATGAAACAACAGCATTAACATCAAGCATAAGTTTAATGAATATACTTCAATCCAAACGAGAATTGAAAGATCTGCAGTTATAAGAACACTTCCTCTAACAGTGGAGTTGAATGTTGCTTAATAATGTCAACCCCATAATGAGTTCACACTGTGCAACAAAACTTCATTTATTTCAGTAGCAAGAAATATCAGTTATGTTCTTACGTATACTGCTGATCACAATAATAAATGAAATAAAAAGCACAATAATGTTAAAAAAATTCATCATTGTAATTTTTAACAAGATGTTAATTTGTACATATTTTGATGGAGTATTTTCACAGTAATATGCTAACAGTCTTAAACATAAAAAGAACTAATAAAAAACCTGAAGACATACCATTTGTCCATTAAATGGATGGTTCTCAGGCTTCTACAAGTTTTGTCTGTTAGATAGAGATAACCTTGTCGGGTGCCTATAGCAACACAATCTATCCTTGATGCATAATTCATGGTGATACCTTCATCCACTAACTTGTGCTGATTCTGAATTCTACAGCAAAATCAACATTAATTTAATCTTAAAGTACAACATAGTTAGAGAAAAAAAAAAGTTTAATTCAGCAACTGTATTAGTAATTTTTATTTTCAAACTTGTTCATTGTTTTCATGATGATAAATATATTCTCTTAAAGTTTGACTTGTAACAATTTTTCAAGTTACATGATAACTCTGATAGATAGTTTAGGTAGGGTATTCATATTGAGTTGATTGTGACGTGGGTGGTAAATACCTATCAGAGAAACACTTGTAGAAATAATTGGTGACTAAACAATCTACTTATGCAGCTCAAATATAGAGGACAACATTTTAAAAGTCTTTTGCCTTTTGTCATCAGATCAGTTTGTATTTATTTATTTATTTCTGGCAGGTATTTTGATTTCATATTAATTATTTCCGGAGAAATAATTAATAATCAGGGGTGCTCAAAGATTAAGCAATCCTCCTTCACCCCACTCGTGGACTAGAAGTATGGGCTTAAATTGAAGAACAAGAGATTAATACAAACAAGCTGTGTAAACTTAAAAAGAAAAAAAAGGGTAATTAAAAATGTAAACGGCCGATATAGGACAGATGGTCCATCAGGGCGGCGGGGATCTATAAATCCTATGCTAATAATTTTGATGTGGGGGGAAACGGGTGTACCCGAGAAAACCCACTTTCACTGGTAACGACCAATACATTACCAGTGCCCTGTTAGCGAGAAGAAGTAAGTTGGAAGGGCAAAGTGAAGTCTGGTGCTGGGGGTGGATTATTGATTAAATGATTTACGGATTCTTCTGATGTTTGCCAGGGTTTTACTGGGGTGTAGGTTCAAGTTCTGGTGTGGTATTGACGGCATGAAGTCTTCTGTGTCACTGGTAGGTGAGCGGAGAGCATGGAAAGGTTCGTTGGGTAGGTCATGGTCGGGGGACGTGTCGATTACGAGAGCGTTGGGTGAGTTTGGTGACGGGGATGCAGAAAGTGAGACTGGGCTGAGGGGCGGGTTGTTGGTTTGTTGCCATGCGTCACTGGTTACTGGTAGGACTGGTGGCTGGGTCTGGGTACCTTTCTTTCGTCTAGTAGTTATAGTTTGGGTCGACTTGTCTTGTGTTTCAGGAGTGGGTGAAGTTTGAGTAGCTTGGTCAAGCGTGATAGGATGGGTGGTAGAGTACTGGTTGGCAGCAGTTTTCTTTTGGGTGTTGTGAAACGTGGGCTTGGGGGGGGGGTGAACTGATAAAGGTAGGGGCGGGTGAGGCTTCTGGTATGGTTTCTCTTCTTTGAAGTGGTAGAATTGTCGAGAGCAGCTGTGGGTGAGGATGAAGTCTGTAGTTATTTTGGAAGTAGTGATAACTTTCATGAAGTGGGAGGGTGAACCTGTTTTCTTTGATGTAATTCGATGTACTGCATGGATCTTTGAATTAGTTGTGGTTTCAAGGGCTTGGTGTATTTCTTCTGGTGTGAATGATAATTGAACATTCCTTAGAAAAGCAATGTGGAGACTGGCACTGCTTTTGGGGGATTAGCATGTAACGGGAGGGTTTGAAGACCACATCTTCACATCTCCTGCCATTTTCATATCATGGCCTTTGAGCTTTTCTAATCTTATTGTCCAATATTCTATGAATTATTCTTTACTAACTACTCTGATAAGTTTCTTATTCCTTCATTATTATGTAAAACGTTTTTAGTCTTCATAGTCTGATATAAATCCAGTTAGATGTTGAAACTTATGGATTAATTCTATGAGTGGTCTAGAGTTTTGAAAAATACCAGTTCACTTTAACAGCTTACATAATTTTGAGTTTTATGCACAGCATACAAAGTATGTAACTTAGGGATTTTGAATATAATTTCATGTGCAGAGACAAAAAAAAAACAACTTCTTTATTTCTTGACTACTTAAAAGACAATAGTTTAGAAATAATAAAAAAAACTTTTACTACTAGCAAACTATCCAAAAACTTACTTTAAAGAGAACAATGAATTAGGCTTGTTTGGGGTAGGAAATTCCACTTTAATAGAGATCAAAAATGATTCCTTTCCTTCCATGGTGTGCTGGCTGACAGTACACAGTACTTGCTTCCCTTCTGGGTGTACAAAAACTGCTGTTGTTATGCTTCCTTTTGTCCACTAACATGAGAACATTATCATTTAGAAATACGCACCTGAGCAATAATTAGTAAACTGGCATCACTCAAATACATAAAGTAGTAACCAAAATTTTTTTAGATTTTTAACAATTTACAACACACTGCAGTATTTTTGAACTATAAGGCTTTTTAAAAAAACATATTAAATAACTATTCCAGAAACATACCATGTTTACTATAGATACATGTAAGATCAATTTCATTGCAAACTTTACCACAACCTTTTTTTTGTGAGAAAGAAAACAAATAAAACAGAATTTTCATTTTTGATATCATATTGAATGTTGTACAATACATTATTAACACTTTTCACTCCAGAAATAATTGCGAATAGTGAACTATTGACTTCCTTAATAATTGTTAACATTAACTAAATTTCAGAACAATTTCAAGATCACGAGGTTAAAAATTCATTTCACATTGATTTTTGGTGCAAACTACTTAAGTGTTTAATTGTATGAGATGGTACAGTAAATAGATAACAACACATGTTCCTGCTGAAATAAAACGCTCAAATTTATTTGTACAAACGTAGTTAGTTCTGAAAAACAATAAATATTTTAATGTTTAATGTATATACTGGTGCATGTATAAATAACTGAAACAATTTTACATAAATGCATGAATTGAAAAAAAAAAAAAGCTCGAGCATTTCGAAGAATTGATTTTTCTCCTCCTGAAGAATAGTCAAATATTTGAAAAAGTTTTGGATCGATTTTGAAATTCACTGCACCTTTCATAAGTGATCTTGTGTGTGATAACTCTTCTATTAAAATTACATAAATCCAGGTCAGCTTTACCACACAGGGTTGCCCAAAAGTAATAGGACTCTATGACATACATAGAAAAAATATATTTTCCTGACAGCAATCCCTATTCATGCTATAAGTACAAACATAAATAAATGAAAAGGAATAGGTCAGTTCAAATACATCTATTTCATCATGGGAATTCCTTTTGACACCATTCCTGTACTGACAGAAAAAACACATAACAAGCGAGTACTATCACACTTGGACAACTTCATATATTACATATACATGTCACAAGAAACCAAAAAATATAACAGGATGTAAGAAAGGGTTAGTTAACGTTTAAGAAAATTAGGAGATATTATATGATGATCCGCACTTGAGTAATCTTGTGGATCTTCTTTCATTTTATGAGATTTTACGGGTCCGTTCTTTTATTTTTATATTCAATGTATTGTAATTATTTTTTTGAATAAACTGAATTTGAAATGAACTTACCTCTTCATGCCCACAGTAACTGATGACAAATAAGCTATTGTTTCTAGTCAGCTCCCATATTACCAGTTTTCCCAACTCATCTCCACTGAGAATGTGACCCCCATTGTCTGAAATCCTCACCACTTTCACTTGGCCCTTGTGGTGTTTAGAATTATCATCTGTTAAAATCTTTAAGTTCCAAAACTTCACAGTTCGATCTTGAGAAGTTGAGACTAACTGTTCATTGGCTATCATAGCACATCCCAGTACCGGCTCACTATGTCCATACAAGGTGCTCTTTGCTATCCTCTTATAATATGAAAGGAAATAAAACAATTTATCACCTAATTCCTCAATATGTATTTGACAGTTCAAAATTTATTAATTACTTTATATTTGTGTAATTCCTCAATATGTATCAGACAGTTCAAAATTTATTAAGTACTTTATATTTGTGTAATTCCTCAATATGTATTACAGTTCGAAATTTATTAATTACTCTATAACTGTGTAATTCCTCAATATGTACCAGACAGTTCAAAATTTATTAATTACTTTATATTTGTGTAATTCCTCAATATGTATTAGACAGTTCAAATTTTATTTAATTACTTTATATCTGTGTAATTCCTCAATATGTATTAGACAGTTCAAAATTTATTAATTACTTTATATCTGTGTAATTCCTCAATATGTATTAGACAGTTTGAAATTTATTAATTACTTTATAACTGTGTAATTCACAATAAGTATTGAAATTTTAAAGGATGAACTCCAAATTTTCTAGATACTTTTTTTTCCCATGAAAAGAAAGAAATTAGTTTTTAACTACAAAATAATGAAAAGTCAAAGACACATGCAGTTTCCAATAAATTATAAATATTAAAGAAGCAATAAAATAGCATGAGAAATGATAAGAAACATGTACAGAAAGATTTAAACTTGTTTGCAGTTGTAATACAATTTTCTAATCACAATAATTGACCAATGAAGTAAAAATAACCTCCAATTATCATGCTCTACAGAGTCTTATGTGCAACAAAATAGTGGATACTAAATAAGTAAGGATAAAAAATACCACCTATCAAGTCTCAGCACATTTAACTTATTATATCACACCGGATATGCATGATGTCTATATTTTCCATACAGGTTTTTAATATAAATCAGCTTGTTAAATATCATTTGTGAATAGATTTGTAATGTAAGTCATCAAAATATATGTAATGTGTCTATGGGTTCATATAAATATACATCAACACATTACATATCATGCGTGTATAGATTTGTAACATAGGCGGTTGAGTACATTATATCAAAATGACTTGGGAGCTACTTCATGTCATTAAAGTCCATGTTGCCATATTTGGTCATAATCTATCTGATGACCATGCACCTTGACAATGGCTCAGAAGTGTAGTTGCTATTGTAAAAGGCTCTGTTATAAGAATGTCATGCCAACAGTACACCATTGCTCCCTGAAAGTTTCCTGTAAGATTCAGTGTACAAGGACGATGGTTTCCTAGCATCTGTTTCAACAGTCTGATTGCACATAAATCCACAAGCACTGCATACAGTGACTTGATTGGCAAGTTTTCATACAGAATAACATGAATGCCTGTTTTATTCTTTAGCTGCTTAAGGTATATAACAATTAAGTGGGAGTTATGACTGGAAACATTATCTTGGTGAACTCATACCCTGTTGTCCTTCCTGATGAAGATACTTTTTGATTATGTTCCATAATGTTGCCTGGGGCACATGGAAAGTTTTTGCCACTAATCTTTGTGTTCCTGGATTCTCACCTGTTACAAGACACCACACTTCACTTGCCATGCTTAGGGAATGGTTTATGGCAGGTCTCTTTCTAGAAGAGACTGCATATTGTGTTATAGAAAATTCAATTAAAGTTTTTTTTTGGTGTAAGGACATGCACCATCTATGAATGTAATTAACATTAACTTACATCAACGATAATAAATGCTCAATAACAAGAGTAATGGGGGGTGGAGAGGGTTGTGAATCCCCATTAACAAGTTCCAAACTATCATCCCACAAAGTTTAGTTGAGATTGGCCTAGTGAAAAAGAAGTAGTTAGATAATGTACAGACAAACAGACAGACAGAAACAGATTTTTGTGATAT